CTTAGGCAACCTCTGCATTTATAACCTAAACCCACCTTTTAGATCCAAGACACCTGAGTATCTGACACAAGACCATTGTTTCCATATACTGAAAAACTTTGCCTAAATGTCCCCAATGTCTTACTTGCCTGGAGCTTCTTCACAACGCAGTGCTTCTGAGGCACCTCCAGCAGCTTCATTTATTTCTGAAGCCAAGTTTGCTGGTAGGACAGTAACAGAGTTTATGCTGAATTTTAAGCTGAAGTTGCTTCACTGATCCGTGAACAATACAACTGAACAATAGCTTAAAGACAAAGGAGGTTTTCCTCTACAAGAGCCAATTTATAAAATTTTACCAATAACCATCTAAGCTATAATTTTTGTGAGTCAGTAGACTAGCTTTCTCTTTAGTCAGTCCCTTTCTTTAAAGAATAGCTAGTATGCAAATCTTTGCACGAGATCATCATGCGTTATCTTCTTAAGACACAAGTTCTTCTCACACATAGAATCTTGGCTTTCATGTAGTCTCAAAAACCTGCGAGAGGCTGCAGTGGAAAAGCACTCGCTGTACTGTATAGACTAATTGGATATTTAAACTCTGTTCAGGTGCCTTGAACGACTGCAGCCCTTACACCAGGTGACATTTTTTGGACAAGAGCCTGTTGTGAGGAAAGGAAACATAGAGCCCATCGACATAACCATAGCACAGAGATCGTCAAATAAGAAGGTAAAAAGAGAACTAATTTGAGCGGAAGCCTAGATTCTGAGAGCAGCTTTGGCAGCTCGTTTTTCTGGGATGAATGGGACATGACTTGCTAATACCTAGAGCAGTGATGTTTGCAATAATTATTAAAACCTGTAGGTGACAATTATCAAGAACCTTGAGCTGTATGGTCTAGACCCACAGTGCGTGGCCAACATTCTGCAACAAAAAGTACAGGCCAGCGCCACCATCACACCAGTACCAGGAACAAAAGACAGAGTTCAGGTCCAGATCCAAGGCAACCAAATCCATCATCTGGCCAAGATGCTGCTTGGTAAGTCTGTTCTGGAGCTGGGCTGGGCTGGATTACAGCAAGATACAGATTTTAATTCTTGAGCTCTGAATATTTACCTGAAGTGAACTCTTGGTTATGTTGCAGAAGAATACCAGCTACCTCGGAAATATATTCAAGGCCTTGAGAAGGCTCCAAAGCTTGGCCGGAAGAAGTAAGAGAAAAATCTACTGTAAGAATTACTCAGATCTCATTATTTATAGAATTGTTCTGCCAACAAATCAAGGATAATGTACAGGCACTATTCATTCAAAAATGAGTCCTGGATGTTTACCAGGTCTAGGATTCACCCAAATACTAATATTGCTCCAGCTGTTCATTTTTCATAAAAATAAAAAGCTGAATAAAACCCCTAGCATTATCCTTTCCTATATATTTTTCTAGACGTTCCTAATGGTGCACTCATTTTCTGGCTACAGTGGCTTTTGGCTAGTTTAACATTCTTGCTTTGCATCTTTTAGCAAAGGCATAGTAATAGAACCTCCACCAAAATGTAAGCAAAGTACATTCCAACACATTGTTGTGGAACAGTCCACAGATGGTGTATGTCAGAAGTAAAACCCACTTGGGTTTAGATTTTATCCTTTTTAAACATTTCCAGGTATTAATATCAGACATTTCAGCACTGAGAATGACCTCTATTAGCTGGATTGTTATCATTTATGTTATTTTTATATATAAATACATTTTGGGATGTGACATTAACTGTAATTTACCAGAGGTAGACATGGGTAGCAGTTCTGTCAAATCCAGCTAAAATATTAAGAGATTAATGGAACACTTTGGTCAGGTTTCACAGGGGTAGGTGTTCTGTACTGCTTCAGCTGAAGCTCAAACACTTTACAGTAGGGTTAAGAAATTTAAATTCACTTCTAGGAAGGATTCCTGTATTTTCCCTTTAGACTTAATACATGGAAGTTCCATAGGAGGGCGCCAGAAAAAAAAGTTAAAAGAGACTTCTTACTGTTTGATTTATTGTTGTCTTTTACACTGTCTGCATATGACCAAGTAGTTTCAGACCCTTCAAAAAAGCGGGAAGTGAGACTTTTCTTAAAAATGCCATAGAATACTAGGAAGTAGTAAAAATAAATTACAGCATTGCAAAAATGCATTTCACTTTGCAATAGAAGCTTTGCTATTCCATTCTATACACATTATTTTACATGTTTTACAATAGACATGAAAAATAAATTCACACAAACTAGGCAACGCAATATACTAACCAAAGGCACTGCCAACAGTATTTTGCACTTAAGTAAGGAAGGGGCCAATACTTCTACCCTAGACACAGCCCAACTGACTGAGAATTTGAGTTTCGAGATCTACCGATTCCTCAAATGCCCCGTATATTGGAAAAAAACACCAAAAGAAACAGCCCTCCCCTTTGCAGGAGGTTTTCAGCAGCATTCACGGTAATTGCATAAGAAGCCATGCCTTCCACAAAATGTCAAAGACATGCTGGGTTCCAGGAGGGGAGAGGGAGACAGTCACCAAAACTCCAGTAGGAAACAACAGCAACAAAAAAGAAATCTTTACAGCTTTTAGCCAGAAAGATAAGGGATTTAAAAACAAGCGTCTGGATCTTACTTCTCAGAACCAATGGCAGTTTTTACAGTGTCCTTTCTGCTGACTGAACAGAAGTATTTATACAGTGCTTTCAAGACTCAAAGCACTAGATAAATGTTATTTACTTCACAAGTGCATAGTGAAGTGGTAAGTATTCTTGTAAACGGACGAACAGCCCCCAGAGCATGAAAACTGCTGCTGTACTTGGGCTGCCGCCGCGTTGTTAAAGGTCATCTGGGTGTAGAGTACAGTACAGCTGGGAGGCCCTTCCTGCACCGCGGGCCAGCGGCCATAGCCCTGTTAGCAAACCCTTTACGCTACTGACTAAATCATGAGCTGGAACTAAGCTTGCAGAAAGTGGCATTTATACAAACTGAGGGGCTTTAAGTGATGCAATTACGGTTTAGAAACAAACATACTCAAGTATAAATTGGGGGGGGGGGCAGAATCTCAAGCGGTCGCCTTCAAAAAAAGAAACAAAACAGTTCCTCGACCCTCTACGGACAAAAGCAGCCTCATCACAGTACTTTAGGTAAACGGGGGGACAGGACTGACAAGGCCTCTGACAAAAGCCCCTTCCAACATCCTCCTTAGCCCAAAGACAAAGTTTTCACACTTAAGGGAAAAAAGGCACTGAGGTAAATTTGAGACTCTTCCACGTTGTCTCTGTGGTATCTGTTACCCAATAACCTGTTGCCTCCCTTCCCACGCCGTGCAGGTGGGGTCACAGCAGTCTACAGCGAGCTCAAAGGGACGCTTGGTCATCAAGTCAATATGAAACCCTTTCACATGCTCCATCTGAACCCGGCTAGCGTTAACGTTCCGTTTTCTCTTTACGCTTCGTTGCGGTGTCCTGTGTAAACAGAGGGAAGACTGAACCTGGCTCTGTGCAGCGTGCTTGGTACAGAGCACCGAGAGTAAACATGGGGACCATCCTCTCTCAGCTCAGCATCCATGGAGCTTTCCTTGCTCCTCCGCAATCGCTGCGTGGCTTCAGCGAGATCGGGGTCGCTGGTTAGAGTTATGGCAGTAACTGATGCTCCAGCTCAAGGACTTTTTTTTTTTTTTTTTGAAGGATGCATCAGAGACAGTGGGAGCCCTGAGGGGGGGGGGGGGGAGAGAGAGACTTACTCTCCTCTCCTAGCTCCACGTAGAGAGCAAAACCTGGTAACCTTCCTGGACACGCAGGCAGAGCACCGATTGCGAGTGGGGAGGGAGGGAGGAGAACACGACAGGTACAGAGCAGCACAGGGAGGGAGAGCATGGCGCGTCACGGACAGGAGCGGTGGGAGAGCAGTGCAAGGAGGGTTAGCAGGAGGAAGCACGGTGTGAGAGCGCGGGGGGAGGAAAGCATCCGAGGCTAACGGTTCCCTTACTGTTCCTGGTGCTAAGGCTTTCCCACCCAGGCAGCCACATCCACACCCTGGCCCCGGTCGGAGCTCCTCTCCCTCGGTGCCAGACCTGCTCATAGCTCAAAACCAGTCTGATTTGCAAAAGGGGGATTTTGAGCTTTCCTGGATTAGTCTGTTGGATACGTATTGCTAAATGTTCAGTATCGAACCATCGGCCCATGCCCCAACCATCATTACGCTTTTCAAACAGAATTTGTTACAACAAAGGTCCCAATTCCTACAGAGCAGAAAACTGGTAAAACACTGGCTAGCTTTGCTGAGCATCAGGGGTATTTGCTTTAATTCACATCTGTTTTCAAAACTCAAGTTAATTAGAATCAAAATGGATGACATTTCCTGGAATTAATATGACCAAGTTTCAATAACACTTCCTAACAGACTGTTTGGGTGTTGTAGCTGCCTTGGTGTCATAACCTTCCACTTGCCTGGCTATCTTAGCCCTGAACAAGTCCGTCCGGCATTGGTTGCAGCTGCAACACCCACGTGCTTTGGTGCAACAACCTCCTCCACTTTATCTGCTGCTTCCTCTGCCCTACTTACGAAACGAGGGCTCGGCCACGTGGGCGCACGCAGTGAGCCGCAGCACCCCCGAACAAGAACAAGCAAGTTGCTGGGAGGAGCGTGAACGGCAAGTGTTACCCTGCTCAGAACATTAGCCAGTAGATGTTCCTGTTGGGTTTGACACGGAGCATTTTCCACGAAGCTTCTCCATCTGATGGCAGAGTTGAAAAGCGAACCAGCAGCTGTGTTTGGTGTGTTTGACGGCCACAGTTTTAAAACAGGCTTCCCGTTCTTTGACTGGCTCTGGTCCTGGAATAAGAGGTTTCAGAAGAAGAAAAAGCTATGTGTTCATTTTACAGGTGCTGTGAGCCAGTCCTTAATGGAAGGATGAGGAGGGAGAGTGACCACTATGAGGTGTCCTGAGAAGTGTCTTTTCATTTTAAAAACAGTATCTAGCTTAGTCTGTTGCCCAGTGCCTCCTGAAGAGCTATCCAGGCTTGCCTCTGGCTTCTTTCAAGGTCTGTTGCAGTCTCTGTTTAAACTTCTCGTACTTCCTTTGCACTTGCTGGATTTTCTCCTTTTCTTCTTTGTCCAGTATCATCAAGAAGTTCTGTAGCTCTGGGATGGAGAATGCGTCCCACTGCAGAAACAGCAGAAACGGAGGGAAAGTAAGCACATGCCAGTCACCTTATTGCTTTTGTGGGGTTTTTTAACCCTGAATCTGTGAAGAGGAACAGTAAAAGACATTTAAACACGTATCTGATCTCCAGGTAGCTTAATCTCACA